CACGACGACGACCACCACGACCACGACAATGACAACGACATCGACAACGACAACCACAACGACATCAACGACAACAACCACCACAACATCAACATATCCCCCGTATTCCCCCGTATTGTTTCCCCTAGGAGATGATTGGAACCAAGTCCCGTAGAGAAGGGAACATTAGCTAGTAACACATGGCCCATATGTTGCTAGAGCCCCACCGTTTTCTATAAAAGCAGTTTGAAAATTTCACTGGTAACGCAATCAGTTGTTTTACCCTTCCTTACCAATTCCTAGAGGACATCTATGGCTGTCTTATGCTTGAAAATAGTGGGATATGAGAATAGGTACAAGAGCACTTTCTAGACGTTTGGCAAAGCAGCTGCATTTTCTAGAACGTTTGGTATATCAAGGTTTACCTTGAAATATTAAGGGGGATATCAACATCAACAGCAAGAACAGACTCAATAATTAACTTCAATTGGGACGACTACAAACATCCACAACACAATAGGATAATACACAGCAAAAGTACAAACAGTTATATAACAATAACAACACAATTTGACTGCTAGTAATTCATCGCATATAACGTAACTTGAACTTTGAAGCTTAGGTTTTATATCAAATTTATCAACATGCTGGAGCACTGCATCCGAGTTTCGACCGGTTTGACCCGGATTCTGACAGAGTTTGCAATGCATTGGACCTTTTATGCAGGATCTAGGTATACGTACCTGCACCATCCTGTTTGGGTGTCCTGTCTGGAGATCCATCCTGTTTGGGTAGTCCAGCCAGGACACCCAGACAAGATGGTCCTGGTATGAAAACCCGTTGGAATCCTCGGAGTCGCTCCCGTGGTCTCCCAACCGGAGAAAGCTCCGAGGCAGCAAGTCTCCAAGCAGTGCCGAGAGCAACAGAAGGCGCTGGTCAGAGACCGGTGTAGACAGCCCGCCTGTTCTGTATCGAGAGATCATGAGAGAACCCCCCCAAAAGACCAGGCACTGCCTCTCCTTCTTCAATTGTCTTCCCAAAAGATTCGCGAAGCCTTCTGACAACTACTTGTAAGCCACCGGGTCGGGGGATATACGGTATATATATATATACATAGTATCACGTATCACGTAGTAGAAGTCCCTTCATCTACCACTTGTGGAGATATGTTTGGGCATCCATCCCTTCTGGTGACTTGGCTGGAAAGCATCCTTGTGGTTAGCCCAGTACCCCAAACCCGAAGCTGTTTGAGCTGACCAAGCGTGGCATTCTTCGTGCTGTTCATGGTGCAAGCTGCCGCACGTTTGTCATGCCGGTTGACGCTTTCCATGAATCTGTTCAACGGAACTCTTGCCTCAAATCCCCCAAGACGGTTTTGGGATGTTTGGGGCAATCCCAATCAAAAGTCCCGACGAGCATGAATTTGATGTCGTAACTGACCCTTTGAGGGGGCATCGTGGGTCAAAGCCCTTCTGTGGAAAGGGCACAGGTTGAAACAGTCTTTGGGATGCTTCTGTCCTTAAGGTTGCATCTACTTGAAGGTATGTTGGACAGAAGCGGCGAGTTCCTCCTTACATAAAGGGTCCACATCATAGAACTCCACATCCACTTTTTTTCCATGATCTCTTGGAGCTTTCAAACAATCAAGTCTTCCATCAGGTGCACACCTTCGTTTCCCCAAAACCCGGTGAGGCTCGACTCGGCCCGACCTGGGACCAATTCCCAGACACGACTAATGGGACTGGCATAAACATACATTAACCATCACTCACCCCTTTTTCAACAGCCCCAATGGTATTTATGCCCTATATGGAGCGTTTGGGAGTTGCTTCACATTGTTCGGCACTGCCTCAGGGCTACATGGTGGAATTGAAGTCGCGCAAGGGCGTGTGGCTTGGAATGGATCGTGGGGTCCCACCATCCAGTTTGGCATTGTGCACAATTGAGCAAGGCTTGGTGCAAACATTGCCTACTCAATGAATCTAAATGGCATGTGCAAAGACTGGACTGGACCATGTTTTTACCACTTCCAGAAGACCTTAGGGGTTTGATCATGTTTGATCAACCACAGGGGACCGGGGATGCACGTTGGGTTTGGATTTGATTGCAGTACACCGCACTGCGTCGCCTTCTTTGGAGTGAGAGTGAGAGGATTGTAGGGTCAGGTCAGGTCCGGCATGGGATGAATACTCTTGAGATCTCTTGAGACTATTGTGGTTTTAACATGTTTTAACTATGGCAGGTGAACATACGCAGGTAGACTTCCTGTTTCATCCTTGAGGAGTTCATCAAAGTTTGAACACCAGATGAGACTGACAGCTGCACTGATTACAATATACTGTACCAGACTCAGACTCCACAAGTCTAAGCACGGTGTCAATGGCAATTTTTAATACTCAGGCTCTCCGTGGATGGATACTCTGCCTTTTATTCCCCAGTTTTCTGAAGATTGCACCTCTCTCCAAATGAGATATCCATCCTATCTCCTCCAGGGCGTCTGCTGAACCGGGACGCGCACCACGGTTCCGCCCGCGGGGCTGGACTGGGACCCTCTCTCCAGGTCCTCGAGCGAGGCGCTGGACTGGGGGCGGTTGAGGAGCTTCGGACCGGAGCAGGTCGTGGAGGTGAGGTCAACCCCGCTGTGGGTCAAAACCCTGGTCGACCAACAAAAATGAACCGAATAGACTAGCAGGCTGGATCAACCTAACAGGGTTTGGGGCGTACTCACAGCCATTCAGGGTGGCTAGCATGGTGCGAACCTTCGACTGTTCTGTGTTTTGGAGAAAGTACGGGTACCGGTCAGGGTGGCTTGGTCGGAGTAGTTGTTGGGCCACTCCTTCTGTCCCTGAAATCAAAAACTCCATCCAGATGCGATATGAAGATTACTTCATATCCCTTCTTTTTTCATATTTGCCCCCCCCAAAAAAACGAAGGGATACTGTATCGTCATATCCATCTCCCTCGCATTCATCTGGGACCGAAGGGATCGAGCGGATTGAATCGGATGGAAGACGACGTCGTACCTGTTGGGCTCAATGTCGGGTGACACCTTCAGTATCATCTGTCATGGGACGCGGCTTCTTTCCCCCCAAAGAGGACTCGACTGAAATGCACAAATTGACCAAGAAGAACACTCTCCCTGGAACTCACATGGTTATGTGGAGTTCACCAGCTGTTTGTAGTGGGAATTGGTCTTCCAGACTCGGGGCCAGAACCATCCACGTAACCATGGGGCCGTTCAGGATTTCAGTCCCTAGAGACGATGGGCCTGTTCTTAGCCTAGACCCTCCGCCGTTAGTGGCATTCTTAAGGTATTGGGATGTATTGGGCACCCATGGACGAGAAGGTATGGACAGCCAACCAAAGCCCCAAAGCCACCTTGAAAAGGGTTGGAGCCCTGGAAGACGATCACATGGACCCTGAAAACCACGTCGGTTGGTAGAGGAAAACAATCTTCTAGGGGGCCAGACAGTCAGGGTCCATGTTAGTTTTTGGGAGTGTAGTTGGAACCCGGATTTGGAAGGGTGGAACCCATGTCCTCATCCTCCACCATGCTCGTTCTCCGCGATGGCCAGTGTTCAAGCGCCCCGTTTCATTTGGTCGGTTTCGCACAAGAGATCCATGAGCGGGCAGGTCGCTGTCCACAAGACGGTCAGTCAAGAATAGGCTTCTTCAGACAAACAGCTGCCTGCCAGAGTTGCCAAAAAACCCATAGCAAGTCCACATGACCAGACTGCCCATCTTGACCAGACTCCCCATGTCAGGCATGTTCCCACTCCATCTTGACCAGAAATTTGGGGAGCTCAAACCAAACCCCCAGCGTTTCAGCTTACGGAGCCTAAGTCAAGGATTAAAGAATTTTCTCTTTCGATCGCACCGACCAGCGGAAGTTTCACCGAGCGAATCGCGGTTCCGTGCGGCCCTCCACGCGCGGAACTGGTGTCCTGGAGTGGATGGATTGGGAGCAAAGAAGAAGAACCCTTCCTTTTGTTGAAAAAGAGAGAGCAATGTGCTGGCATCGAGGAACCCACAAAGATCACTGAACTGGCTTAAAAAAAAAAAAAAAAACTGCAAAAAAACTGCCAAATCACACTTTCATCCACCAGGACCTTCAGTCAGCGACCTCATTGGAGTCTTTCTTTGTGACCGGACTAGGTGACCTCGTTCTGGGATCTCAAAAGGCCACTTTGGGGTCCTGACAAGTGATTGGTTTGACGCCTTGGGCGGAGACCTCATGAAATGTATCTATATATGTATCTATATCACCAAGCGCAACCGGTCTCCACGCGGAAAACGTGGCCGGTCGTGTGCCAGGCCTCAGACCTAAACACAACAGAACCCCAAAAGAGAAGGGAACAGAAGTTCCCGCATGCAAATGAAAGCAAACTAAAGAACAGGAAGCCTCCAGGAAGCAAGCGTACGGCCAGCTCCAAGAGAAAACAAACGCGCCAAATGAACAAGGGCGGCGTCATCAAGGAACACAGCTGCACCCTTAATCGAACCTTGCGGCAAGGTTTTCCCTGCCGCTTTGGCAATGGGGTGTTTGATGGAGGATCGGGGTGTATCCACTCACTTAGGATCCAAAAACCACCCCTTTGGAATTTTGGTATATCCCTAGGGCTTCCAACTATCTCCTGAGAAGGTGGTTGGGGTGGTGTTGGGCATGTGGTTGGAGCATGTTGGAGCCAATACTTTAGAATTTAGAATTATATAGATAATAAATATAGATAGATAGGTAGGTGGGTAGATCTATGTAACATTCAGGACATATCCATCAATAAAAGCCACCAGCACAACCCAAAGGGTGGTTGTTGGATCGAAAATAAATGTTCAGAGGTGTCTAAAAACCATATACGTGTTCAGAGTCAGAGGTGTCTAAAAATTGCTGGCATGGGCTTCCATATATATACTTAAACCGTATAGCCTAACGATTGCTGGAAATTCTGACAGCAGAACCCCTTTCTTTGATCCTCAAGGTGGGTGGAATTGGATTCACCCACTGCCCAGATGGCAGGAATCCCATGACGTGGCGGAAAACAAAAGCTGCAGCCCAGCAGTTCCATGAACTCCCATCCGAGATCCGACTCACGGGTCGACAGCAGATCGGGGTGCGAGTGAGGCGCATGGCGAATGCGACGGAAGAGTGTGAGGTGCGGTGTCCGTACTTGGGAGGAGGTCCCGGGTTGGTGGGCAAGCGGTGTTTCGCTAGTCAGACGTATGTCCTCCTGAAAAGCGAGCTTAGTGGCATCCTTTCTACAACTGGTAGGAGGTTTAAAAGTGAGGTTGATTTTGTAAAAATGACATTTTGATCTTCCAACAACTAGGGCCCCCTGTCAGGCCCTAAGGGGTCCCTTAGAGGTGATGCGGGGTATCCATTCACGGGTGGTATGTGGTCCCACAGGTGTCTCTCCTTTAGTTTAGCCATCCACTTAGGGAGTAAACCAAGACCACTCACTCCGTGTCACTCCTTGGACTGGTTGAAATTGGCCGACATTGCCCCCCTGAAATCAACCACCCCAACTGATCGGCAAATGTGGTAGTCCCATTGACCCTTGGGTGATGTTATCATCCTTTGGCCTGGAACATCTTTTTGGGTGGAATGTCTATAGTGTTCTTGATCATTACAGATGGTTGAATCATTGTACCATGGTTCGCCGAGCCAGTGAATCCCAGCGCAAACACCGAGTATTGATTGGCTATTTCATGCTATTTGTTTGTCCACCTTGGCAACCTCACCGCGGCACACTCGTCGCCACTCGTCGCCTGAGGTGAAAATCTGCGAGGTGGGTGGAGAGGGCCTTTTTCTGCCGCTCTTCGGAGATGCGGAACAGGCCGAAAGACTGGGCGAAGGTCTTACGGAGTCATTCGTGCGGTTTCAGCGGAGACACCATGGTGTTTTCATGTGTTTCCGGAATGATGAGGTTTCATGTGGCGTTGGTGGTGCTTCACCACTGCGTTTCCTTTGTGTTTCAGGTCTGGCCTTCGGGTCTTCGAGGCTTCCTCTACCTCATCGGCCTCTTATGGACTTTTATTGGCGTAGCCCCTTGGATCTGCGAGTTCGCAGGGCGGAGAAAGACGGTGATTGATGAGGGGAATCAAGTCACCATCTGAATTGGATTCGCCCCCCCCAACGTTATCAATCAATATGAATGGTTGGTTGGGTAGGGACATATTGAGATGTGAAACATATAGCGGGGATCCTCAATCTTGGATGCCATTTTGGCTCAAGATTGGGGGCTCCCCTCCTTTTTCTGCCATGCCTGCCATCCTATCCACCGAGCTGTCGACGTGGAGGGTGGTGGCACGGCGGTGGAGGCGGGGCAACAGGGGCAGGGAGGCCAGTACGCTACCCCGTGAGGAGCGGCTGGCCTCCCTTGCGGCCCGGGGCGCCTTCATTGAGTCCCAGTGGCACCAGGTCTACCGGGCGCCGGACATCCAGGCCGACTGGTGCCGGACGTGTGCCCAGTGGACCACGTCCTGGTGCGAGGGCTGCTACAGCCGTTGTGGTCGCGGCGGCGCACCTTTTGGAGCCATCTGTCACCAGTGTGACAGCGAGAAGCGGGTGTGTGACAAGTGCACCACCCAGGGCATCTCGTGGGACCAAGGCCACCAGCGCTACGTGGAGGACCATGGCGGAGAGCAGGAGGCGGCGGTCCAGATCGAAGGGTTTGGAACCCAAGAGTCGGCCCCGCACTTCCATGAGGTCGACCACTTTGAAGCTGCTGGTTTTGCTAATGAGTTATGGCTGTTAAGAGCATTAGCTAAAGAGTTAGTAACTAGTTATAACTAGTTAGTAAAAGCTGATTTTTTAAAATTCCAAAGTCAAATTTTTTTAAAAATGTAAAATATATTTTTGTTTTTTGTCGGCCAAAAACACAATGTGTTCCTTTTAAACTCCAAAAAAAAGGAAAGCAGGTACATGCACAAGTAAATCCCACGAATGTTTCAACCAAACATGTTGGCATTGAACATTTAAAAGTCATACACTATATGAAAGATGGGCACCAACCTGGAACGCTTCTGCAGGTATACTAATGACAACAAAATGTACTGCATTGTCCATTTGGTTTGGCTTTCCAAAATACAAAAACAAAAAATACAAACAATCCAAAGATTGGTGCCACAAGCAGCTGATTTGGCATTTGGTGATGAAAAACAAGCAAACACTTCAAGAGCCTATACAGGCTGTATAGCCTTCAATGGCAAATGTAGCATTTGCAGGCCTATACAGGCTGTAGCCTACACATGCCAAAACATAAGCTTGCAAAAGCTAACCTCGTACCAGAACACAAGCTTCCAAAAACTATGTGCAATTGTGAAACAGATTTTTCACTCTGGGCAAGACAAAAGTGCAGGGGTCAAACAGGTGAGTGTGCCATCCTTTCCATGTGAATGGATGACAGGCTGCAGCACTTCTCTCACATCCACCAACTTCAAAGCACCACCTGCTTGCCATTTGCTAGATTCTGTGCCAGCCCTGAGGCCAAGAAGTGTGAACATGTCCACCAGGCACAGCAACAAGCCTGCTGCATCAAAGAAATGCTTGACTTGACCACACTGCCAAAACTCATTGCCACCAGGATGCTTTTGCATGAATACAACATCATCTTTGTAACAAGTTGCCCCATTCTGCAAGATGCAGCGCTTTGAGTACACCATGCCAGGAACAAAGCACTGAAGCTCTTGAAACATCTTTTCCAGCTTCTTGGTGAGGCCAGAAGGGTTGATCAAATGGCAACTGGCCTTGAACAAATCATGTTGGGTCACCAAGGTGTTGATGTGTTCCATGGAAACAGCACTCAACAACCCCTTCTCATAAGTTACCAACTTGCAGTGGACACTTCCAAACTTCCTGGGTTGCTTATGCTTTCTCTCAAGTGCCCAACAGGCTGGTAATTGTGACCATCTCCTGAGGCAGTCTGCAAAATGTAGGCACCAATGAAATTTTGGTTTCATTTGATCAGCAAAGCCTCCAGCAACTGTTGCTGCCATCGCCTTTTCCACCAAGCTCAAAAGTTTGGTAGGTGAATTGTCTGACAAGAAAGGCAAAGAGGTCAAGTAATCAAGGACTTTTGTCCAGCACACATAAGCCTTGCATTGCACCACCATGATATTGTGTGCTAAATACATCACTTTCAAGAAGTGCTCCACAGGCTTGTACACCTGCAAAAGTTGAGAGGCATCGCATTTAAAGGTTCCAGCTTTTCTGTTGCTTGCCACAGCCTTGCCTTCGAACAATTTCTCAATGTCGGAAATGGAGTAAGCTCTGGGGAATGACCACAATTCCATCCAATCCTTGAGATTGTCCCAAGGCTTGAGACCAGACTCAGATTGGTGGATGCTTTCAACAACCAAGAAGAGCATATCATTTAGCACTCCATGGCTGCACAGGCCATGCATGTAGTCGAAGGCATACAATGAAACTGGTTTCAACAGATTGTTGTTCAACAGCTTCTCACTGGACAACAGAGCATGCACAGAGTATGACAAACCTGCTGCTTGTTGCCTCAGATCGAACTCTTTTTTGGACACTGTGTGCAGTTGCCTTCCCAACCTTTGCCAACTGCTGACCACCTCTGTGTCTGTAGCAATCTGCAGCTGATCATGTTTCAAGAATTGAGAGAAAACATTGCCACCTCCTGCTTCAAGAGTACTTGCATCCCTCAGTTGAAACAAATTCTTGCATAGGAAGCATGGTTTGCTTCCTGTGTCTTGTCGACTTGCCCATACAGACTTCTGGGCAGCACCATCCTGTAGAATCATGCTGAGGGTGAAGTGAAGCCTCAGAGACCCCTTAGGTGATGTCAAGAGCACACCTGTCTCAGGCACCCCACTTGCAAAAATGTCTTCCAAGACAATGCGGAACAGTTGTGAGATACCTGCTGCAAAGGTACCAACTTCTTGGCTTCTGGAAATTGCTATGCAAAACCAACAGTCAGATTTGCTCAAGAATCTATTAAATTCCAAGAAGGATATGTAGATGCACCATGACTTTCTGCTAGTGGAATGCAAGATGTTGCCAGGATGCACCTCATCACAGTAAGCCACACATCTCCAAGGTCTCTCTACACTTGATGGTGTCACTGCATGCAATTGAAGCAAAAAGTCAGTGAAAGCTCCAGCTTTGTGGAATGTTCCAGACAATAGTGACAGAAAGTTGATGTAAATGGTCTCCTTCTTTGTGTTGTCAACTGTTGTGACCTCTGCATGTTTGAAAAAAGGACCATACATGGTCATGCTTGAGTCCTCCAAGAAATCCTTGGTCTCTTTCCAAATTGCATACCTGGATAGATTCTCAGGTAGCCCTCCACTCTCAATCTCTTTGCAAATTGCAGCCAGTGCAGTTTGGGAGCAGAAAGGAAGAGATGACCTCAAGTCACTGATCTTTCTTCTTTTGGAACCACCTTTGTCATGCTCCATGGCTCTCTAAAGCACATGTGGTGCAAGTACCAAACTCAAACTAAATGAAGCTTCAATGCTTGTATATCCTACCAAATGAAACTTCAATGCAAGTTTTTTGCAATCTTTACTAAATTCAACTTCAATGCTTGAAAACTTACCAAATTAAACTTCAATGCTTGTAGAAACTACCTTGTGTTTCTTTCATATCAGCTGCAATGAAAAGGACACATGTATGGGTAAGTATGGAATGCCCTCAAGTTACTGGTTGCCTGTAATGGCTGCCTGCAATGGCTGGAATGAGCCTGGAGTGGCAGCCTGTAATGGCCTTTGGGTTTGCTATCTCTTTTTCTTTTCACTCTATCACACTGCCACTGAGTTAGGTGCGAGGCCACTCACCATGCTCCACATAGTGCTCAATCATCTTCTCCACAGTAGCCACTTCCTGGTTGGACAGGTCAAGGTTGCCCTGGATGTGCATCACAAAGTCTGAGGCAAGCATCCACTCTTGCCAACCTGGCAGGGTGCCACCAGCAAAGTTTTGTATGCTGAGCCTACATGCAGAACACACTTTGGTTGTCTACAGTGCACATACCATAACATTTGCTGAGACCAAGCCTCCAGGGAGCTCCTTCACATACCATATAGTCTTCTCCCCATTGTGCCCATACCAAGCTTTGAAAGTTGCCACAGGAGTCACCATGGCTTGAGCATTCTCCATCTGGTTGCACCTCACATGGCTACATGAACTTGCTTTGGGCCAGGTGCATTTACAACAAAGAAGCATGTATAGGCTCAACATATACAGGAAAAAACTACAAGCAAGCAAACAACAGGTTAGGATCTACAGGCTAGGACTGATACTTGTTTCCAAAATGAGAGCCTGTAGAGGCTGGTTTTGAAACTATTTACAAAGTGTGAGCCTTCAAAGGCTGGTTTGGAAACTTGTATATACATGTTTACACAATACAAAAGGTGAGCCTGTAAAGGCTGGCTTGGATACTTGCAGTTCTTATCCAATACAAAGGTGAGCCTGTAAAGGCTGGTTTGGAAACATGTAGATGCTTACATAATGAACATGTAAAGGGTTAGCTATACATCATAAAGTCATCCAAAATGGCGCCACTCTGGACTCATTTTCCCCATCAGCACCTTGAAGCAGGTGTTCAACAGCGATGCCAGCTGCCCCAAACACAGGATGAACTCTTTGAGAACATCC